TAAGAACCAGCTTATTTTAAAATGAAATGGAGATCTTCTTTAAAGGGTAAAAACTCATTTAATTTTATATCTTACAGAGTTTATACTGAGTTCAATATTATATAACTGTATTAATTCAACTGTGAACCTAAAATATTACAGCCACTTTTGAAAGAGTTGTATCCTTGCTCTGGAGAGTGTTACTGAATATGTTGCTGATGTAATGAAATGCTGCTTCTAAAAAAAAATTAAAAAAATAAACAATTGTGTGTGTGTTTATGTGTACACACGTATGAAAGTTAGAGGTTAACTTTAGAGGTTATTCCTAAACCATCCACTGTGCTTATTTATTTTGAGAAAAATTCTCTCACAGGTCTGGAACTTGCTGGTTGATAGGCAAGCTCCAGGAAACTGCCTGCCCTCTTGCTTCTCCAGCACTGGGATTACAAGGGTATGAACCATGCCTGGCTATTTATGTGGGTTCTGGGGATGGTGTTCAGATCCTTATGTCGCCACAGGAAGTATTTTACCAAGGGGGTCATTTCCCCTAGCTTGTATTAAATAGTTTTTGAAGAAACAAACTAGATTTTAGGTTACATAATAGCAAGGACCATGTGTCATTTGACTTTGCATACCTGATACTATCAAAGTGCCTATCAATCATTAAGAGTTCAATACCATGAATGGATAAATGGATACATGAAGAGACATACAACCATGACTACACAGTAGTACTAGAGTCATCACACATTTTTGGCAAGGGATCTGATATCTTTTGGTTAAGTCCACTGAACTGCAACAGCATGTGTGAGAAAAAAAGAATGGTTTCAATTTTTGATAATATGAGAGGCTATGGGTAAAGAAATGAGAGGGTAAAGAGTTCAGTGGCCACCACCAGAGGGTTTTGCACTAGATGCTGATTCTTCTTGTGGACCTTTCCTTTCTTTGCACCTTATTTCATTTTCTAATGTCCCTTTAAATTTCCTGAAACATTTGTATTTGTCTGTTTGCTTTATTTGAACACTGCACGTCCTTAAAATATACTGATAATCTCACTTACAGCTTATTTAATTCTGCTTGAGAAAGCAATAAAAATTCATAAACCACTGGGATTCTAACTACTCACCATTTTACTGTGTAAAAACATATTCTATAGAGGCAAAACTCTTACAATAAATTCACAATTTACAAAATAAATTTGTAAAGAAAGTGAACATATATTCTAAGAATCTGTATCCAGTTTCAAAAGATTGATAAAAAAATCTCTACACTAATAAATTATATAGCAAAATCAGTACTTAATGGATTATTGACACTTGTCCTAAAAGTATCAGTATATTTCATATACTGAAAACAATATAAATTTGTTAAAACTTTTAAAGCAATGGGCAATTTACAAATGAGGTTTTAAAAAAAAACAATAATTGAGTTACCTCATGATACAAGTTGTGACCAAAGATTCGGAAGAAAAGGACAAAGTATTATAATTTACAACTAAAACACGTGGTACAAAAGATATTGTATCTAGGATTTCAAAAATTCCAAGAAAAATGAGGCTATTTGAAAAATCTACTTACAGTGGACTTGTCAGGGGAAGATGGAATATCAAATGTTTCACTAGTATGGTTTAATAGATCTTGCTGAGAGCACGAGTAATGAATTTGGTTCCAACTGTTTTTCTTGGATTGTTTGGGTGGTAAAGCTGGAGGCTGTCCATCTTCAGAGGTCTCTTGTGATCTAGATTAGAAAAGAGAGAAAAAATGAATATTATTAGAAATTGATAAAATTATTTTATCCTAAATTAGGGTCAGGCAACCCAGATGTTAACAACGGCTAGTGTCGATAGACATATTTTTCCATATTTTATTTATTATTTTTATGTGTATGAGTGTATTGCCTACATGTATATGAGTACACCTGTGTCACGCAATGCCATGGAGGTCAGAAGAGGGCTTCGGATTCCCCTGGAACTCGAGTCAAGGACGGTTATAGCTGCCATGTGGGTGCTGGGATTCAAACCTGGGTCTTCTGCAAGAACAGCCAGTGTTCTTAACCACTGAGCCCAGATAGACTTTAGATGTTATATTTACTTGGAAATACTACCTTTTAATAAAAATCTTTACCTTTAAAGTAGTAAATCTGTTTTTTAAATCATATCAATAAAAAGTTATATGCTAATACTTTCAAGGTATTTATTCATTTGCTATAATCATGTATATACCTTTCTCAAAACGAAGTTTCTTTTGAGGTTTTCAATGGAGGTATGGGTTGACAGGCAAAGAAAAGCCAAAACTGGAATGTGAGTTGAAAGAAAGCACTTAGTAGCTACAAGGACTTATGTGACTGTCCTCCTTTACCATCACTCATGAGAATAACAAGTTCAATAATATGACAGATAATAGGGGTGTTGAGGTCATCATTGAAGGGATAAAACTGATGGACTCGAGTCATTTTTAAGGTAAGCAAACAAAAATCCAACCAACATTAAAATGTATTACTCTCTGTAAAGAGAGTAGGAATAGCAATTTTCTCAACTTTTTAAAAATTAGCATATACTAATCACACAAATGGGTTTTCTAATGACATTTTCACATATACAACGTATATTATATATGTGCTTTGATCACATTTATCCTCTGCTACTTCTCTTGTCTCAGTATCCTCCTTCCTCCTGCTAAACAATCCCCTTTTACCTTCTTTTTTTTTTTTAAAAAAAATCTAGATTCCACACATGACAGAAAACATTTTCATGTTCTTGGGTATGGCTTATTTCATTTAACATGGTAATCTCTAGTTCCATGTATTCCCCCCCAAAACAACATATTTTATATTCTTTTCTATGGCTAAGTAATATTCCATTTTGTGTGTGTGTGTGTGTGTGTGTGTGTGTGTGTGTGTATCACATATTCTTTATTCATCTGCTAGAAGGTACCTAGCCTGATTCCACAATTTAGCTATTGTGAATAGCATCCCATGAACAAGGATAAGCAGGCATCTCTAGTGTATGATAACTTTGATTCCATGAGCATTAGAGATGGATCATATAAAGATATTTTATTTATTATTTTTATTTTATGTGTATGAGTGTATTGCCTGCATGTATGTGAGTGCACCCATGTCGTGCAATGCCGTGGAGGTCAGAAGAGGGCTTCTGATTCCCCTGGAGCTGGAGTTAAGGACAGTTTGTAGCTGCCATGTGGTGCTGGGAATCGAACCTGGGTCCTTTTTTTAATGTGTATGAGGTACAATGCCTGATGTGTGTGAATACACCCATGTTGTGTGGTGCCCCAAATTCCCCTGGAACTGGAATTACAGACACTTGTTAGCCACCATGTGGGTACTGGCAATCGAACCCGGGTCCTCTACAAGAGCAGTCAATGTTCTTAACTGCTTAGCCATCTCCCTAGCCCCAGTAGTTCTATTTTTAGTTTTATAAGAAGCCTCCATTATGATTTCCATAGCAGCTAGACTACTTTACACTGTCATCAACAATGTACAAAGGTTCTTTCTCCAAACCCCTGCATCATTGCTAGCATTTTTTGTTGTTCATTTATTTGATGATAACCATTTCTGACTGTGATGAGATGTAATCTCAATGGAGTTTTGCTTTGTGTTTTTCTGATGGGTAAAGATGTTGTTGAACATTTTTCATATGTTTATTGGCCATTTGTACTTTACAAAAAAAAGTATCAAGGTAATTTTATTCAAAGCAAAATAATAGGTCAGAGAACTGTCAAGAGTGAAAGCAGGTTACACGAGTGGAAGTATTTAAGGGCCTGTACTTCTTTTTGAGAACTATCTGCTCAATTCATTGATTTATTGCCCATTTTCTGTTCCTTTGGTGTTGTTTTTTTTGAGATCTTTACATGTTCTGGATATCAACCTCTTGTTGGATACATATCTGAAAAGATTTTCTCCTACTCTGTAAGCCTGTCTCTTCACTCTGAAAATAATTTTCTTTGCTGGGCAGAAGCTTTAAATTGGATGCAATTCCATCTGTCAATTTTTGCTATTATTTCCTGAGGTATTATGAGTGCTATTCAGCAACTTTCACCCAAGTCTCTGTCTTGAAGTGTTTATGTTTTCTCTAATAGTTTCAGGTCTTACATTAAGGTCTTTGATCTACTGAGATGACTTTTGCATAGGGTGAGAGCAAGAGATCTAGTTTTAGTCTTTTACCTATAAATGTCCAGTTTTCTCAGCATCATAGAAAATGGTTCTTGTTAAATATTACTAACCATTACTGAGTTATTATCTATCTCTGAGATGGCAGGATGTCCTGAGGGGAATAAAAAGGTTGCTACCTCATTTCCTAAGGGCAGATAAGAAAGTTGATATGTAATGCTAAATAGTTGCTACTGTGTTTACTCAGGCATAGATCTCACCTAGCATTGCTCACTTTTGAGGACTGACAATAAATGCCTAATAGCCAAGCTCTGATGTCTTGAGAAGGGAAAACTGTATTCAACTACATCATTTTAATATCCCTTTTCCTCATCCAGGGCTGTCATCTGGCCTGCTAAGGTATGGTAGGTCAATGTGGATTTGAAGTGGCATGTGTCACTTCCCAAAGGAAGCTTTAAGAAACAGCTCATGATTCATTATGATTGTTCTTCCCTGGCCACAAGACTAGCCAAGTCCGAAAGAGAGACTATTGTTACTCTGAGTACTAGGGTAAAGATAACATGCAAGAGAGCCACAATTGACCTGTGATGAACATATAAAAAAGAAATGTTTGCTGTTGTTGCTGTAAATCAGACTCATTTGCTATTACTGTACAACTTAGTCTGAGTTAACTGAAAAGTCAGGGCCAGAATGACTCTTAGATACATTCTCTCCCTTGTTATTACTGCTAGAAACCTGGAAGATTGGGGGATTAACATTGAGTGGTGTGACCTGACAGCTTTCCAAGGAAACTAGTTTCTGCTAAGAAAACAGTCATGGAGATTTGTAATCTGGCATAAAATATAACTAAATAAGTAATTACATAATAATGCCCACTGAGCCTAGGTGTCTGTACAGAAGCACTGAGATAAAAAGCTCTAAATTCTTTTTTCAAACATTATTTTGTACCTTTTCTTTGACAATTTCACGCATGTATACAATGTATCTTGCTCATACCTACTCCCCCAACTCCTCCTGACACCTCCAACATGACCCCCCACCACCATATCCTCCCCCTTTTCTTCTGTCTTCTGTAACCCATGATTTCTCTAAATGCTGGAAGGTCTATTAAGAACTGCATCAGGACACATATTATTCTTTGTCAGCAAAAGCTTCCTGGGTCTGCCTTCATGGTCAGAGATTACAGGTTCTAAACAGAGCTGGTTTTAATCTGCTTCTTTCAATTGTTAAGAAGCCAAGCCTCTAAGGGCTAATCCATTCAGGCACTGCTAGTCCAGGGGAATACTTCCATGATCCTGAGTACAGACCTCAATCACAGTATGCTATATGGAATTAAAGAAAATTAAAACAGGCACCCCTTGGTAGACTCTCACAGATTTCTAAAAAGTAGGAGATATGTAGTCTCCAAACCTATTACTTTTCTGGCTTTGCAAGCAGCTGTTTATTCAGGAAGCATTTGGCCTCAAAATCAAAGACTTATGGGAAAGGGTGTAAGGCAAAATTAGATGGCAATGGTGTTCAGAGTAACTTCCCTTATTCTTGGCCAAAATATGCAGAAGGACCAATGGATGCCTGGTCTGCTGTGGACGTGGGTGAAACCTGAGCATAGTACTCAGGTATGTGAGAGGGACAACATGGATATGGTAAAACTGTGTTTCTGGGGATTAGAACTTAGTTTGAGTATACACTGTTAAAAAAGTTCCAGAGGTAGTTTTTTTGTTTGTTTTGTAGACAGGGTCTCACTGTGTTGCTACAGCTGGCCTGGAACTTGCTACATAGATCAGGCTGGCCTTGACCTCACAAGTGCTTGGCTTCTGTTTCTGTGTTGGGATTAAAGGTGTGTACAACCATATCCAGCCATAAGTAGTTTTTTACTGTGTACTTCTGATGAGAAATCAATGTCCTATGTTCTAGTTTTCTGTCTTCTATTGCTGTGATGAAACACTGACTAAAACGAACTTGAAGAGGAAAGGGATTATTTCAGTTTACAGTGCAGTCCATCACTGAGGAAAATCAGGTCACTAACTCAAGGCAGGAACTGAATGAAGCAGAGACACCATGGAAGAATGCTCTTTACTGGCTTGCTCAGTTACCTTTCCTACATAGCCCAGGCCTACCTGCCCAAGCACGGTACTTCCCACAGTGGACTGGGCCCTCCTGCATCAACCAGCAATCAGAAAAATGCCTCACAGACAAGTCCACAGGCCAGTCTGATGGAAGAAATTCCTCAACTGAAGTTGCCTCTTCCCAGGTAACTCTAATTTTTGGCAAGTTGACAAAAACTAACCAGCATATCCTGGAACAATGGTTGTCAATTCATGGTTTGTCCAATTTTGGCCAATACACATTCATCTTTTTAAAAAAATATTTTATTATTGTTTTTTTATTTTATTTATTTATTTTTTTAGATGATGAGGGGCTAAAAAGGGTGTAGGGGTTAAGAGCACTGGCTGCTCTTACAGAGGACCTAGGTTTCATTCCCAGCACACAAGGTAACAACTGTCCTTAACGCAAGTTCTAGGAGTCCAACACCCTATTCTTGCCTTCATGAGCAATACATGATATGGGTATATTTACATTCATTCAGATAAAAACTCATACACATAAAAATT